GCCTCTGCTGCCCGTTGCCGCCTGTTGCTGCCCGTGCCTGTGCTGCCCGTTGCCGCCCGTTGCTGCCCGTGCCTGTGCTGCCTGTTGCCGCCCGTTGCTGCCCGTGCCTGTGCTGCCCGTTGTCACCTGTTGCTGCCCGTGCCTGTGTTGCCCGTTGCCGCCCGTTGCTGCCCGTGCCTGTGCTGCCCGTTGCTGCCCGTGCCTGTGCTGCCCATTGCCGCCCGTTGCTGCCCGTGCCTGTGCTGCCTGTTGCCGCCCGCTGCTGCCTGTGCCTGTGCTGTTGCTGCCCGTGCCTGTGCTGCCCGTTGCCGCCCGTTGCTGCCCATGCCTGTGCTGCCTGTTGCCGCCCGTTGCTGCCTGTGCCTGTGCTGCCCGTTGCCGCCTGTTGCCGCCCGTGCCTGTGCTGCCCGTTGCCGCCCGTTGCTGCCCATGCCTGTGCTACCTGTTGCCGCCCGTTGCTGCCTGTGCCTGTGCTGCCCGTTGCCGCCTGTTGCTGCCTGTGCGTGTGTTGCCCGTTGCCGCTCGTTGCTGCCCGTGCCTGTGCTGCCCGTTGCCGCCCGTTGCTGCCCGTGCCTGTGCTGCCCGTTGCCGCCCGTTGCTGCCCGTGCCTGTGCTGCCTGTTGCCGCCCGTTGATGCCTGTGCCTGTGTTGCCCGTTGCCGCCTGTTGCTGCCCGTGCCTGTGCTGCCCATTGCTGCCCGTGCCTGTGCTACCCGTTGCCGCCCGTTGCTGCCCGTGCCTGTGCTGCGCGTTGCCGCCCGTTGCTGCCCGTGCATGTGCTGCCCGTTGCCGCCCGTTGCTGCCCGTGCCTGTGCTGCCCGTTGCCGCCCGTTGCTGCTCGTGCCTATGCTGCCCCTGTTCTCCCCCCCCCCCCTTCTTCGTCTCCCTGCTGCGCACGCAGCTGTGGAACGGAGGCTATGGGGGTGGCGGGTATGGGGGTGATGGGTGTGTGTGATCCCCTTCCCCTCCTCCTCCTTTCTCTCCCACTGCTGGAGCTGCCGCGGGGGGGGGGGGGGGTGGGTGTGAGAGTGTGGGGGAGCTGGGGGAGAGGTGCTAGGGTTGTCGAGGAGTGTGGAAGGGGGATTTGGAGGACTGGGGGAGGTTCCACGAAGCAGCCGCCTTGGACTATCTCAACACGACCACCTGAATATTTTCACTCGCCCTTGTTGTCTTGCTACAGTTCTTCAACCCTCGACAAACATCATCTGTCAAAACCTAGCAGCAGGAATGAATGAACTATGAAAGAGTTGGGTACATGTATGAAACCCTAACAGGGGTTGTACCCCATATTGGCTACCCCACTACAGCCTACACAATAACATGCATATACTTTGACTCACCCCCATAGGCAAAGTGGGGGAGAACAAGGGGTCACAAGACCATTCAAGAGAAGCAAAGCAAGCTTAGGGTGGTTCACAACATCACCACACACACTAAGCACAAGCAAAGGGCCACAAGGCCAGTTCACATGCAGAGGTATATATGCAACAACAACAGCACAGTGATCTCTACCTAGCCGGAGCAAGCATGCAGGTATATACATATATATCACAGTACAGGCAGAGCCTACAACAAGTGAGGAAAGGTAGGCACAAGGCCCAACAAAGTACAAAAGCGCTCATGATCACCAGGTGAAAGTGCCTTGGTGAATATATCAGCAGTGTTGGCCTGAGTGGCCACCTGAGCAAGACGAAGCTGACCACGCTGCTGCAACTCTCGAGCAAGGAAGTAACGCAGAGCGATGTGCTTCGTTCTGTGCTCTAGTCTATGCTCCTCACACAAGGCAATGGCGGCCTTGCTGTCTACGTACAGCACTGGAGGAGAACGAGGCCGCTCTCCCAAGTCGGTCAGCAGGTAGGTAAGCCAGCGTAACTCCTGTGCAACCATGGCTGTGGCGTAGATCTCAGCCTTGCAACTGGAGCTGAGAACAGAGGAAGAGCATGTAGAACGCCAACAAACAGAGCCCAAACCAAGGCTGAAGGTGTAACCCTGTGACGACCGCTGCGTAGCCTGGTCGTCAACCCAAGAAGCGTCTGAGTGACCAGTGAGGACAACGTCGCCCCGTCCTCCAAGAACGAGCCCCATGCTCGATGTACTGCACAAGTAGCGTAGTACCCTCTTAGCAGCATCCATGTGCACCTTTCGATACCAAACAGGAGCCACGTAGCAAGCCAGAAGGCCAAGAGGGTATGCAAGGTCAGGACGAGTGCAGGTCATCAGGTACATGAGGCAGCCCACTAGCTCTGGGTAAGGACCACTCGGCTCTATGGACTCGTCCGAAGGTGGAGCTGAGAGCGAGTGACCTGTAGCCAGAGGAGTGGCCTGTGTCGAGGACGAGGTGAAGCCGAAGTGCTGAAGGACCTGCTGCACCATGTGTGGCTGAGTCAGTGTGATGGTGCGGCGTGCTTTGTCCCGGGTGATCTGCAAGCCAAGGTAGCTGCGCAGCTCACCCAGGTCTGTGCACATGTGTCTCTTCTACAGCTCGGACTTCACCAGGGCGAGAGCCTCAGTGTCGGCAGTGGCAAAGACCAAGTCCTAAACGTACACGATGATGTAGAACGGCGGCAGCGAAGTGTCGGTGCGCAGAAATAGCGACGGGTCAGCAGTCGACGGAGCAAACCTAAGAGCCGCAACTGTAGTCCTTAGTGTGTCGTGCCACTCACGCGGCGCTTGGCGGAGACCGTAGACTGGCTGCTGGAGGCTCCATTGGGTACTAGGAGGGAACGACCCAGTGAAGCCAGGTGGGCGGCGCAGCCAGATCTCCTCGTGCAGGCTGCCCTGTAAGAAGGCTGTGGTGAAGTCAAGGGAGTGAAGCTCGTAGTCACGCTGAGCGGCAACGTGCAGCAGCACCCGAAGAGTGGTCATCTTCGGGGTGGGGGAGAAGGTCTAGAAGAAGTCGACTCCCTCTCACTGACTAAAGCCTCGAGCAACGTAACGAGCCTTGAAGACAGGCGGAGAACCCGGCGGCCGCTTCACCCTGAAAATGTTCGCCCCAAGAGGGGGAACCTCGTCGACGTAAGTGCCTGTGGACTTCCAGGATGTCATCTCTGCGTCCATGGCTGTCTGCCACTGAGAGGAGTAGGGACCCGCGATCGCCTCAGCGTAAGAACGCGGAGTCGGGATGTTTGGTGCATCCGGGTCTCCCTTAGTCGCAAGCAGCATGGACACGAGATGAGGCGCAGTGGCTGCAAGGCACTCAAGGTCCTCCTGCTTGTCCTCAAGGACGTCCGTACCAAGAGCACACTCAACCCCGACGGACGGAGGACAGACAGACTCAGACTCAGCAACAAGACTAGCAGCGTAGTCGAGACGACAGTGAGCAGCAAAGTCAACAAGCTCAACGACTAAGGCAGACGCAGCAGCAGACTCAAACGACAGGTCAGTGACAGCTGTGGCTAGCAGACGCGTGATAGTAGGACTAGCCGCACGAAGAGAGTCAGACTCCGAGTCAGCAAGGGCAGGAAGAGAGGACTCATGAGTAGACGGTAGAGAGACACGCTGCAGAGCAGTGGGCGGACGAAGTGCCATCCGGTGCGTGCAAGGGACAGGATGAGGACGCTGACGCGAACCACGACCACTAGCGCGAAAAGTACGAATAGGCGACGCAGGACGAGACGCAGGCTCACGACGCTTAGCAAGACCTCCAGTCGAACCAATGTAAGGAGAAGGAGCAAGCAGTGGAGAGGTGGGCTGTAGCTGTAACTGCGACAGGACAGGCGCCGGACACTCTAAGGAAGGGGCACGACCAGCAGAAGGCGGGAGACCAAGAACCTGCTGAAGGAGCGGAACGAAGTACAGCCGCGGCCGCTCAGCACCCCCAGAACCAGCAGGAACAGCACCAGCACCAGTAACACCACCAGAAGCTCCAGTCGCTCTAGCACCTCCAGCTCCAGCGCCACCAGCAGCTCCAGAACCTCCAGCTCCGGTGCGACCAGTAGTAACACCCCCAGAACCGGCACCTCCAGCCCCATGGCCTCCAACCGCAGAGTCAAGAGCAGCACCTCCAGGTCCAGTAGGACCTCCATGTCAAACATTATATATGTTGCAGTTGTTTAGGCTACAGTGGGTTATCCTTTAGGGGGTACACAATTCTAGGTTTAGGTACTTGTACTCACTTCTCTTTCAATTCATTCATTCATTCTCTAACATGGTATTCAGAGTAGGTCCTTCGCTAGGACCGATTTTTTAGGGCCCACCACTGCTGACTGCCTACTAGCGCCCTCGTGCGCCTCACTGTCGGAGCGCCCTCGAGCACCTCCCCTAGCGCCCTCGTGCGCCCCTCTTTTTAACGGCCTCGTAAGGCCCCGCGACCCGCCCCTTAGCGACCCGCGCGCCGCCCCTTAAAGGCCCCGTCGGCCCCACCTAGAGGCCCCGTCGGCCCGCGCGCCCCACCTAGAGGCCCCGTCGGCCCACCTAGAGGCCCCGTCGGCCCGCGCGCCCCACCTAGAGGCCCCGTCGGCCCCACCTAGAGGCCCCGTCGGCCCCGCGCGCCCCACCTAGAGGCCCCGTCAGCCCCACCTAAAGGCCCCGTCGGCCCGCGCGCCCCACCTAGAGGTCCCATCGGCCCCACTTAGAGGCCCCGTCGGCCCCGTCGACCCCGCCTAGAGGCCCCGCTGGCCCTGTCGACCCCACGTGCGCCCCGCCTAGAGGCCCCACTGGCCCCGTCGACCCCGTGCACCCACCCCTTAGCGGCCCCGTCGACCCCACGCGCCGCCCCTTAGCGCCCCTCACGCGACAGCCACGGCCCACCAGAACCAGGCCGCCCGAACCGAGCCGCCCGAACCGAGCCGCCCAGCCCGAGCCGAGCCGCGCCGCCCGAACCTAGCCGCGCTGCCCTACCCGAGCCGCGCCGCCCTACCCGAGCCGCGCCGCCCTACCTGAACCGAGCCGCGCCGCCCGTACTGAGCAGCCTCTCTGGACCGAGCCGCCCTACCTGAGTCGCGCTGCCTACTGCTTTTAGGGTGCACCTACTGCTACTATACTGCTTCTTCTACTGCTACTATGGCTAGCCCTCCTGTGCTAGCTTTCGATGCTGAGGGCCGCCCAGTGAAGTTTGACACCTGGCTAGATGACCTGCACCTCTTCCTACAGCTCACTGCCAAGGAGGACATCTCACTGTACGATCACACCCTAGGCCATGCCACTGCCCCAGCTGCTACTGCTGACAGCACTGCCCGCTCACAGTGGCAGACTCGTGACGCCCACGCTCGCTTTGCTATTCGCAACTCCCTGCCGATAGATGAGCGCGCGCACTTTGGCCAGCACAAGACTGCACAGGCACTGTACACTGCTGTCGTTGCCCGCTACTCCTCACCTGCCTCTGCCGCACTAGGCCGTCTCTCCCTCCCCTACCTGTTCCCCGACCTCGCCTCCTTCCACACAGTCGCTGACCTCATCACGCACCTCCGTACTAGTGAGGCCCGCTTCCGTGCCGCTATGCCTGATGAGTTTCTTGCCACCAACCCCCCCCCGCTCTGGTTCACTCTCTGCCACCTAGTCACCCGCCTCCCTGACTCTCTGCGTGTAGTCAGGGACCACTTCCTAGCTCGCAGCCCCACTGAGCTCACCATTGCCCTCCTCGAGAAGGAACTGCTTGCAGCTGAGGCTAGCATAGTCGTTGTAGGTGCCTCTCGTGGCGACCCCCGCACCCCTTTCTTCGAGGGGTGTTCCCCTTCCCCCCTTCTTCCCTCTGTAGCCTCTGCTTCTGCTGTCAACCTCCTTGGTGCTGAGAAGGTGGGGGACTGCGTCTGCCTCGAGCTGGCACCGCAGCGGCAAGGGCAAAGGGGGCAAGGGAGGCGGAGGTGACGGCGGGGGAGGCGGTGGTGGGGGTGGTGGCGGCGGTGGGGGTGGTGGTGGGGCTGGAGGGACTAGTGGCAGCGGTGGGGGTGGTGGCGGCAGCGGCGGGGGAGGTGGCAGGGGCGGGGGTGGTGTGGTGGGGGCGGCAGTGGACGCGGCCGCGGCAGGGGAGGGGGTGGTCGAGGAGGTGGCGGCGGTGGTGGTGGTCGTGGAGGCGCTGGCAGTGGCCAGAGCCAGCAGCACACTCCGTCGCCCCAGGAGCTCCGTGAGTGGTACTCTCAGCACGGGGGGGGGGGGGGGGGGGGGGCTTAGCTGCACGTACGTCATCCGCACTGGTGACCGCACTGGTCAGACGTGTGGGAGGGCTCACCCCACGCAGCACTGCTTCTCTCGCCTAGACGACGTTTGGCGCACTCAGTTTCCTGAGGCCTCTGAGCTGCCCCGCTGGGCTGATCTGATGAAGAAAAACATTGATATCTTAGCACTAGACTTTGATGCTATTCTCACTGCCATGTATGTGATGTCTATTAGTGGAGAGGGTGCTCAGTACCTGCGTGTTCCGCCCGACCCGGGCATTCGGACCAGTGAGGCTGCCGCTCTAGGTGCTAGAGTGTCTACTACCCCAGGTGCTGGTGAGGCTACTGCTCTAGCTGCTAGTGAGTCTGCGCCCCCTGGTACAGAGTCAACTGAGGCACTGCACACCTTCACACTGGACTCAGGTGCTTCCCACTGTTTATTTCGTGACCGCACGGCCCTTGAGCAGCTTGCTCGGCCGGTTGCAGTCTCCCTCGCTGACCCCTCTGGGGGTCTAGTCCTTGCGACCTCTTCCACTGTCCTCCCTTGTCCTGCGGTCCCGTCGGGCACACTCTCAGGTCTCTACCTCCCCTCGTTCTCTACGAACTTAGTGGCGGGGTAGTGCGCTCCAGGACGGGGGTGTCTACCAGTTCACCCCTGCCTACGATGCGCGTGACACACTGCACGTGTGCTCGGACGGGCCGTCACCTGGCTACCTTCACTCGGCAGCCGGGGTCCGGCCTGTATACACTGACCACTGAGTCCCCTCAGGTAGCTGCGTCTGCGTCAGGTCAGCTGTCGCCCCCCTGCTCGTGTCACTCTCTGGCGCACGAGACCGTCCTCTGGCACCACCGCCTTGGTCACCCGTCCGTGCAGCGCCTTTGGGCCATGCACAAACGGTACCTTGTCACTGGTCTTCCCAGGGTTCTCCCTCCCCTCCCACCCTCGCCTGCTCCTCCCTGTCTTCCCTGTGTCGAGGGGCGGCAGCGCGCTGCTCCCCACTCCTCCTCGTTTCCCCCGACGACTGCTCCCCTGCAGACGCTCCACATGGACGTGTGGGGCCCCGCCCGCGTTCGTGGTCAGGTTCAGGAGAGGTACTTCCTGATAGTTGTTGGCAACTACTCGCGCTACACCACGGTCTTCCCCTTGCGCACCAAGGGTGAGGTCCCTAATGTTTTGATCCATTGGATCCGCGCTTCTCGTCTCCAGCTCAGCGAGCGTTTCCACTCGGACTTTCCTGTCCTGCGCTTGCACTCTGACAAAGGTGGTGAGTTCTCCTCCGACCTCTTGGCAGCCTACTGTGCGGAGCACGGCATCCGCCAGTCGTTCACGCTTCCGGCCTCTCCACAGCAGAATGGGGTTGCGGAGCGCCGCATTGGCTTGGTCATGGAGATCGCTCGTACCTCCTTGATCCATGTGGTTGCCCCCCACTTTCTGTGGCCGTTTGTGGTCCAATACGCTGCACATCAGCTCAACCTTTGGCCCCGTGTCTCCTTGCCTTAGACTTCCCCGGCACTTCGGTGGACGGGAGAGGTTGGTGATGCGTCGCGTTTTCGGGTCTGGGGATCTCGAGCTTTTGTTCGCGACACGTCCGCGGACAAGCTCTCCTCCCGCGCTGTTCCCTGCGTCTTCCTTGGCTTTGTCCCGGGCGCGTCCGAGTGGCAGTTTTACCACCCCACCTCGCGCAGTGTTCTACCCTCTCAGGACGTCACTTTTGACGAGTCTGTGCCCTACTACCGCCTCTTCCCCTACCGCACTACCCCGCTCCCCCCCCCCCCCGCCTCTCTTCCTCGCGCCAGGTGCTGCTGTGGTAGACCCCCTCCCCCCCTCAGGGTGCCGCTCCCTCAGGTGTGTCCCAGGTAGACCCGGTTGAGACTGTTGAGGTAGCTGTCGACTCTCGTCCTGCTTGCGGTGCTGAGCCTGAGCGTGCGGAGCCTGGGGGTGCGGAGCATGGGGTTGCGGAGTCTAGGGGTGCGGAGCCTGCGGGTGCTGAGCCTGGGGGTGCGGAGCCTGCGGGTGCTGAGCCTGGGGGTGCTGAGTCTGGAGGTGTTGAGCCTAGGAGTGCTACACCTGGAGGAGCTCTCTCCTCACAGCAGCTGGGCGAGTGGTACTTAGAGTACTGCAGCCTCAGGAGAGGTGTTTCTGGAGCTCGGAGTGCTGCTGGGGCTGGTACTAGTAATTCCCCACCTAGGCGGGATCTGCCCTCCCCCCGGCGGCTTCGCGAGTGGTACGCACGGCGCTGCACTCTCAGGAGTGGCGCTCTTCGTGTCGCGGACCCAGCTACTGGAGCTGCTGGTGCTGAGGACCCGGGCGTTGGAGCTGCTGCTGGTGCTGGAGGACCCCGGCGTTGGAGCTGCTGCTGGTGTTGCTGACCCGGGCGTTGGAGCTGCTGCTGGTGCTGCGGACCCGGGCGTTGGAGCTGCTGCTGGTGCTGCGTACCCGGGCGTTGGAGCTGCTGCTGGTGCTGCTGACCCTCGAGTTGGAGCTGCTGCTAGTGCTACGGACCCGGGCGTTGGAGGTGCTGCTGGTGCTGCGGACCGGGCATTGGAGCTGCTGCTGGTGCTGCTGACCCTGGAGTTGGAGCTGCTGCTGGTGTTGCGGACCCGTGTGTTGGTGCTGCTGCTGGTGCTGTGGACCCTGGCGCTGGTGTCTCTCCTGACTCTGGAGGACACTGCACGGCCGCGGCCGTACTTGGTTCCGCTCCTTCAGCAGGTTCTTGGTCAGCCTCCTCCTCTTTGTCCTCCTCCCTCCTTAGAGTGTTCAGACCTTCTCCCCCACCCCGAAGATTACCACTCTTCGGATGCTACTGCATGTTGCTGCTCAGCGTGACTACGAGCTTCACTCTCTTAACTTCAGCACAGCTTTCTTGCAGGGCAGCCTGCACGAGGAGATCTGGCTGCGCCGACCCCCTGGCTTCACTGGGTCGTTTCCTCCTGGTACCAGTGGAGCCTCCGGCGGCTGGTCTACGGTCTCCGCCAGGCGCCACGTGAGTGGCACGACACACTGAGGACTACTCTTGCAGCACTTGGGTTCGCGCCTTCTACTGCTGACCCGTCGCTGTTTCTGCGCACCGACACTTCGCTCCCGCCGTTCTACATCCTCGTGTACGTCGACGACTTGGTCTTTGCCACTGCTGACACTGAGGCTCTCGCCCACGTGAAGTCAGAGCTGCAGAGGAGACACACGTGCACAGACCTGGGTGAACTGCGCAGCTACCTTGGCTTGCAGATCACCCGGGACAGAGCACGCCGCACCATCACACTGACTCAGCCACACATGGTGCAGCAGGTCCTTCAGCGCTTCGGCTTCACCTGGTCGTCAGCACAGGCCACTCCTCTGGCTATAGGTCACTCGCTCTCAGCTTTGCCTTCGGATGAGTCCGTAGAGCCGAGTGATCCTTACCCAGAGCTAGTTGGTTGCCTCATGTACCTGATGACTTGCACTTGTCCTTACATAGCATACCCTCTTGGCCTTCTGGCCTGCTATGTGGCTCCTAGCAGGCACCGAAAGGTGCACTGGGATGCTGCAAAGAGGGTATTGCGCTACTTGTGCAGTACATCGGGCATGGGGCTCGTGCTTGGAGGGAGCAGCCCAGTTGTCCTCACTGGGCACTCAGATGCTTCTTGGGTTGACGACCAGGCTACGCAGCGGTCGTCACAGGGTTACACCTTCAGTCTTGGCTCTGGTTCAGTCTCGTGGCGCTCGACACGTTCGTCGTCGGTTCTCAGCTCTAGTTGTGAGGCTGAGATCTACGCCACAGCCATGGCTGCACAGGAGTTACGCTGGCTCACCTACCTGCTGACCGACCTGGGAGAGCGGCCTAGTTCTCCTCCAGTGATGTACGTCGACAACAAGGCTGCCATTGCATTGTGTGAGGAGCACAGAATGAAGCACATCGCTCTCCGTTACTTCCTACCTCGAGAGCTGCAGCAGCGCGGTCAGCTTCGTCTGCGTTACGTGGCCTCTCAGGCCAACACTGCTGATATATTCACCAAGGCACTTCAGCCTAGTGATCATCAGCGCTTCTGGAATTTACTGGGGCTGGTGCCCACTTTTCCGCACCTGCTGTAGGCTTTGCCTGTACTTTGATCTCTATATATATACTCTTGCCTGTTTGTTCTGCTAGACTGAGATCACCTTGCTGTCTGTGTTTTATATATGCCTCTGCATGTGAACTGCCCCTTTGGCCCTTTGCTTGTGCTCGGAATTTGTGTGGCATCCTTGAGATCCACCCTGAGCTTGTTTGCCTTGCCTTGCTTTGACTGGTCTTGTGACCCCTTGCTCTCCCCCACTTCGACGGCGACAGTGGGTTAGCCTTTAGGGGGTACACAATTCTAGGTTTAGGTACTTGTACTCACTTCTCTTTCAATTCATTCATTCATTCTCTAACACTCCAGTCCCAACAACTCCTGTACCGCTAGTCCGAGCACCTCCGGGACCAGCTGCTCCACGAACACCAGTAGAACCACCTCTAGTAGTAGGGTCACCAACTCCAGCGCCTCCCGCAGCAGGGCCCCCAGCTCCAGCAGCACGGCTCCAGCGCCGAGCAAACCACTCGCCGCAGCTGCTGAGGAGAGAGCGGCTCCCGGCGGGACGAAGCACCCAAAGGGCCGCCAGGCAAACGGCTCCAGACTCCACACGCACAGGCTCCGCACTCTCAGGCTCCACACCCCCAGACTCAGCACCCCCAAGCCCCTCACCCCCAGGCTCAGCACCTCCAGGCTCCTCAGCACCCCCAGGCTTCGCACCCCCAGGCTCAAACACCCCAGAAGCAGCACCCCGAGCAGGACCTGAGTCAGCAGTGACCTCAACCGGCGCAGGCAAGGGAGGAGGGTCTACCTGAGACATACCTGAAGGAGCAGGGAGGGGGTCTACCTGGGGAGCACCTGGAGCGAGGAAGAGTGGTGGGGAGGGGGGAGGGGCAGTGCGGTAGGGGAAGAGATGGTAAAAGGGAACCGACTCGTCGAACGTGACTATCCTGAGAGGCGAAGACACGGCGCGAGGTGGGGTGGTAAAACTGCCAACCAGGCGCATCAGGGACAAAGTCAAGGAAGATACAGGGAACAGCGCGGGCGGAGAGCTTGTCCGCGGTGGTATCACGGACAAAGGCACAAGAACCCCAGACCCGGAACATCGACGCATCACCAACCTCCCCCGTCCACCGCAGTGTGGGCGAGGTCTCCGGCAAGGAGACATGGGGCCGGAGGTTGAGCTGATGCGCGGCGTAACGGACTGCAAACGGCCATAGAAAATGGGGGGCAGCCGCATGGACCATGGAGGTCACGATGCGACCTCCTGACCAAACCAATGCGGTGCTTAGCAACCCCATTCTGCTGCGGAGAGGCCCGGAAGCGTGAACGTTCTGGCGAATGCCCTCCCTACGACAAAAGCTCTGCAGAAAGTCGAAGGAAAACTCTCCACCTCTGTCAGAGTGCAGACGCAGTGATGGGAAAGTCCGTCCCAAACCACTCGCGGAGCTGGAGACGGGCAGCGCGGATCCAAAGGATCAAAACATCAGGGACCTCACCCTTGGTGCACAAGGGGAAGACCGTGGTGTAACGCGAGTAGTCGTCAACAACCAGCAGGAAGTATCGCTTGCGGCCCTGCCCACCGACGCGGTCTGGGCCCCACACGTCCATGTGCAGGGTCTGCAGGGGAGCAGTCGTCGGGGGAAACGAGGAGGAGTGAGGAGCGGCGCGCTGCCGCCCCTCGACACAAGGAAGACAGGGAGGAGCACGCGAGGGTGGGAGGGGAGGGAGAACCCTGGGAAGACCGGTGACAAGGACACGGCGGTGCACACTACGAAGGCGCTGCACCAAGGGGTGACCAAGGCGGTGGTGCCAAAGGAGGGTCTGGTGCGACAAAGCGCGACACGAGCAGGGAGCCGCTAGCTGACCTGATGCAGACGCAGATGCAGTGACCTGAGGGGATACAGTAGTCAGTGTGTACAGACTCGAGCCAGGCTCACGGGTAAATGTGGCCAGGTGCCGGCCCGTCCGGGAGCACGTACAGTGTGTCACGCGCTGACCTCCAGGAGTGAACTGGTCAACCCACTGGTCCTGGAGGTCAGCACCACTCACCAAGTTCGTAGAGAACGAGGGGAGGTGAAGACCTGACAGGGAGCCAGATGGGACCGCCGGACACGGCAGGACCATGGAGGAGTGCGCAAGGACTGGACCCCAAGAGGGGTCTGCCAGGGAGACCGCAAGCGGCCGGCTGAGCAGCGTGAGGGTGGTGCTGTCGCGAAAGAAGGCGCGGGAAGCACCTGAGTCAAGTGTGAAGGTGTATAAGGCCTCAGTAGGAACAAAACCAGAGAGAGCAGACTCACCAGCACCTAGAGCAGCAGCCTCTCCAGCACCTAGAGCAGCAGGCTCTATACTAGGGTCAGGCGGTACGCACAGGTAACAAGCACGGTCAGCACTAGTAGGCAATGCATACATGGCAGTGAGAATAGCATCATAGTCAAGAGCAAATATATCTACCCTTTGCCCAAGCAGCTCCAG